GGTATTCATTGTGCACTCGTTATCCGAGTCTCAATCGAGTGCAATCTACCGAACTGCTTCACTTATTGAGAACGGCAGACAGAACGACGTCACTCCTTTGTTGAATATTGTTAACATTGTCCAAATGGACAATGTTAGTTAGATTTAGATACGTTTATAATAGAAGCTAAGAATCTATTTCATTTTAAAGAAATCCTTTGATCAGTGAAATGCTTACGACTTATTGAATTTATTTGAATTACAGTATTTTTGCATTGTTGGCGCTATTAAAACGAGTGCATCTGATTGTGTGATTGCTAAAGAAGGACGTCAAATAACGTAAATTCTCAGTGCCTATATAACCTAAATAATTGTCTACAGACTTATTCATATTGTAGCAAAGATTATCGCTTGCATAAGGTTTTACAAATTTAGAAAAAAAATTTAAACCTTCGTGAGACTTAGGGTGAATTCGACTAGTTTCAAGCCACACTGGGGCTCATATCCATAACAGCACTACGCGACAGACTGGGTTTAAAAAAAATATTAGACCCTTTCTCTGTACTTTTACTTATATTATTTAGTATTGAGTATGTGGTGGTCATTAGTTTGTGATTGTACGAATAAACTTTGAGAGCCGGGTAGGATAATAGTTAGAACAAAAGGGAGCTCGACAGTATGAGCGCACGCGCCACTTGAGTCTCGTTAGCGACTCACTGCACAATCCAAAAAAACAATACGTTACTATTACGCTAATTGCACGCGAATGCCGTTTTGTTTACCATACTTTTAAAACGATAATTACTTCGTTTAGAAATATTATGCAAAAAATAGCACTTGGATTACCGACTTTCTTCCAAGAGAGGCAACATAGAAAAGGTAATTTTTGGGTCACATTCGAATAAATAACTTTTACTACATAAATATCTTAGATTCTTACAGAATTCGTGACAAATAAGTAGTTAGAAAAGATTAGGCTCTCAATTTGTAGTACTCAAGTAATGTGTGTACTTACATATAATAGACATATTGTAAAGAGGAACGGCGACACCCGTCGATGTTGTCGGCAATGGGGTAGACGACTAATTTTTATTTTAATGTCCGTCTGGTAGATTATTTAAAAACATTAGACACGTATTTTTTATTTTCTTACAAAAACAAATACTTTCGACGATATATTGATTTGAAATGTCGCGTGACGTCACTTCTCAGTACATTTTATACTAAGAAATGACGTTTTAGCCCCCACTCCTAAACTTTGATTCGTTTTATCTAAGTATTGTTTTATTATACAACAAAATAAAAAAATACGTGTCTAATATTTTTTTATTACCTAAGTTACGGACTAATTATATTTTTAATTTTCATACCCTGTCATCATCCCCATTAAGAGCCGGCGCAGGAGCGTTTAACGGTTAATGTGTCTATTAACAAATGTATTTGCCGTGTTGAAGCGTGCTCGTAAATTCCACAGACAACTGAGCAGTTGGCTCGTGTCACTGTTAAACATATATCATTCGGCTCTAAATTGTCTAAACATTATTGCCTTTCTTTTCGTTTGAACGAATCAAGCGTTTAAGTAATTAATACCTTTCATCTATTTCTAGGGACTTGACGAGTGATAAAAAGTTATAACAAAGTTTATGAGTGTCTTCGTTAGCTAAACGAGAATTGTTAATGATTTCCATAAACTTAAGGTAAATTTTAAAAATTTCTGATTGAAAAAAATAACAATTTAAATTGAAATTGTTTTCCTGAAAAACCGACAGTTTTTCAGGAATGAAATGTACTACGCGTGCGTTTTCCTCGGTAGCGGAAAAAAATAAATACAATATCTATCTACAATGTAAAATTTTAGATATCTTAGCAAAAAATAAATGTGAATTAAATTCATGTGCAGTCTGCAATATCATCCATTAAATAAACAAAACTGAACAGATGCCTAAGAAAGTTGTTTCAGAAAAGTGTCACAATAAATTGCTACAGAAAGTATTAAAACAACATTCTTCGTTCGTATCATCTGTCTCGGAAAGCAATATATTAGTTGTCGCCTGGGCGACTCGGGCCAGGCAGCCGCGCAGGCGCAGGCGGGTCGCCATCCGTCGCCTCCCGCGCCACGCGCCCTCAGACAGCTACTCGCATTCTACGACACTAATAACTTAACCCCCTTTTGTTTTTCTACACAAAGCGCTCCGTTTATTTATGAGATCTGACGATTATGCTCTGACACGCGTCTCGGCCTAATCGCTCTCAACAAAATAAAATCTCTTAAACATCTCAAGCTTTGTCAAACAATAATTGGGAAAAACAAGAGTTGTTGATTCAATTAATTTTATTGAAGTTTTTAA